CCATGATTCTGTGATGATTCTATGAACACCTGTGCAGTAGAGCAGACTGCTGCATTTCTAGCCCTTTGAATTCCTGCCTCGCCTGCAAGTCATCCCAATGACCGACTTGGAAGAGGCAGGACGCAAAGGTCTATTTCTGTCTGTCTGGATCTCGAGCCCTGCAGCAGCAGCTCAGGCTCAGCCTGTTTATTAGGTCAGGAGCAGCCTAGCGCCTACACTTGAAAGCTCCGGGGCCCCGTTTAAGGTCCCCGATACCATGTACCTTTTGTTAGTTTTTCGATGTGTTTCTGAATCTCGATGTCCACGTTAAAATGGACATACGTGTCCTCCTTCCTCAAAGCCACAGGAGTATCTTGCACAGGAGTCAGATCGATCCCATTCAAATCTGCAGGAAAGAAACAGCATGGGAAAGGCGGAGGCTTCTCGGGAGTTGAGGTCCTGCTTTAGAGACTCACAAATCACTCCCAATGCTGCCGCAAAATGCTAATGCACACCTTGATCTTCCCCCTAAACTTAAAGCGGCAATCATGCCCCGTCACAGTCGGTGGATTTTCTTTTGGACTGCAACATGAAAGCAGGCAAAGTTCTGACAATATTTAAGGAGAAAAATTTGGAATTATCCCCCTTTTTGTTGTTGAGAGCACATTTCTTTCTGCTGCCAAAGGATGCCATTCCCTCTGCAAGCAGGACTCCAGCAGAACCGTCAGGAGGGGATACACACCAAGGGCTGCCCTCCACACCAGGTCTGCAGGGACAACGCAACTCCTAACTGGTACAAAACAACTTTCCAGAGTTACTTTTCCTCACCAAAAATCCGGAGAAAGTATAAAAAGTGACCCGTAGCAGACTAGGCAACAGCCCCCACACACTTTTTGATCTGATTTCCCACATGGTTACTTGGCAGCCAACGTTCACAGAGGCTTGCAAAGAGAGCGCCACATGTCAATGGGAAGACTTGCTGGGAAAGCAAGGCTTGCTCCCTCGCTGCGTTATAGCCCCCCTCGCTGCATTACAGCCCCCCTTGGCTCCAAAAAGGAAATGAGCACTAGGTCTGAGGGCAAGCAACAGTTTTAACAACATGTAATAATTTAGGAAAGAGAAACACTTTCGTGGGAAGGAACACCAAATGTTTGCTTTCCAAGTCCTGGTAAGTCCCAGTGTCAGAAGTCCATTAGGGCTGGTATTTTCCTGCTGGCCAAGAGAAACTCGGCACGAGAGAGTTAGATTTGATTAAACCCCTATCCACCCAGCTAGCCCCACCGCTGAAGTCACTGTCCCTCAGCTTGCTGGCACGCTAGAGGCAAAGAAAGGTCTACAAGTGACATGAGAAACGGAGCCCAAAGAACAGTTACGCAACCTGAACACAATGCCGCAAGCCTAAGGCAACACCATAAAGAAATACACACGTTTCCAGGCCTGAAAACAGCTTCCAGCCCAACCAGGTGAACTCCTCAAAGGTCCAGAGGGAAGTGGAAAGTCTCACTGTTGAAAACTCAGCATGGGAAGTGGGATTAGGTAAAGCTTGCTGTCTGTGTATTTTGGCAGGTAACACCCGAGAACGTCACTGCGATCCAAGTGACGCTCAACCCTGCCACCCTTGCTTCTGCCAAAGAATTGACTGGCGGGAGACACAGCTGATCGCACTTGTAACAAGTGTTTTATCCCTGCGTTTGGTATCCAGTAGCACATCTGAAGAGGACACGTGCAAGGTTGCTATCACGACTGAAAATAACGAGAGCCTGTTGGCTCAGCTCAAGTTTTACACGGTAACAACAAAAAAATTATTTGCTTCAAAAGGTCGTAAAGACAAGCCGAAGTCAAGGGGGCAGGTTAAGGAATTCTGACTGCAGGGGCTTCCTGCTAAGCAATGCAAAAAGGGGAAGCAGCAGATGCTCCCATTAGAAAAGGTCTGAATACTAAAAATCTCAGCCTCAATCAAAAGCTGTCAACGTGGTCGACAGCTGGACGAGGCTGTGAGCAACCTGGTCTAGTGGAAGGTGTCCCTGCCCATGGCAGGGGGGCTGGAACTAGATGATCTTTAAGGTCCCTTCCAACCCAAACCATTCTGTGATTCCATGATCCACATTGTCATCTGAAACAGCACAAAATCCTAATGTTGTCTATCCTGGACTGACAGAGAGAGGTTCTTCCAGGTTCAGGAGGCTGCTAAGCTTCAGGAAGATGACCTTTGTTTGCCTTTGTTTTAATGACAGGGCAAGAATGGAGTCAGCAGGCTGCGGTTCACCATCTCCAGAAAGCCCAGGGACCAAAATGTGTTAGGGAATAGGAGCAGCCCAAACAGCCCTGTGCTTCCGAGTCGGCTGCAGAAGCTGGAAGCAGCAGCACAGTGTGCAGAGTCAGTGATGCTCAGCTCCCAGCATGGCAAAGACACCCCGGCGCGCACAGATGTGCACGTCCCCTGCAGTGCCTCACCTCACGGTATTTCTTAGATACAGAATTCCACACACGCCCCTGCCCCCCACCCCCCCGATTAAAGCAGAAGCCTTGAGTCCACAACAGAAAACACAAGTACCGACACATTACTTTTCCCAGCAGGGTGAAAAATCAATACAGCTTTCAGCAAACGCGCTCTCTCCGAAGGAGCGACGAGGAGGCAGGAACAGAAATCATTACCCTTCACACTGACTGTGATGTAAGGATCAATGCACTGCCCAGCATCTTTCAGACCAATTTTCTCTATGTTGATGGTGAGTAGTGTCATCCCGGGTTCAGATGGCAACCTGGGCAATAAAGTACCTGGAAAGAGCAAAGCATATGGTTAACCCTTTGTGTCATCTTATGGCAGAGGCCTCACGTATCCCGTCGTCTCTCACGGAAGATGCTGCTCTCCTCAGGGGGTTCAAAGCCCAAGGACTCATGTCCCAACAGCACTACAGGAAAGCCCGCGGGCACAGACGCATTGTCATTTGACTGATTTCAGAACCCACACCAGAAACCCCCAGGGCTGCCTCACATCAAATGAATCCATGAAAAACTAATGCCATAAGAACAGAGAGGAGCTTCCTTTGAAGTGTTTGTTCCTGCCCTCCTGCAGAATAACTCACGCATGGAACGCGCTCCATATCATTTTTAAGAATTAAATCTGGGAGGCTGGATTCCCTCTGCAGCTGCAGGAAGTTCGCAGCTGCAGGGAAGACACAGTCAGGAGTCCCACCCCATCAAACATGAATTGGATTCATGTTGAACATTTAGACCAGGAGAACAAGGAGGAAAATGGCATTGTTGCAAATCCCACTGGACATAAGGGAACCAGAAGAGAGATTGTAAATAATGTGAGTTCTACCGGCCTCTACTTAAAGGGGAAAAACTAAGGAAGTAGTGTTTGTATCCCCCAAGTTCCCTTCTTCCTTAAGGAAGGCGTTCCCAGCGCCGCTTCGAGAACAGTTAGCATCCAAACTTCATGGTCAGTGTGAATGAACCCCCCGCAGTGCTGAGGAAGACGGCAGAGCTGAAAAGAAACCCAAACTGTCCAGGCTCACTAAGAGCCATGAGATTCTGTCATCAGCGATGGAGTTGGTTTCCTCATGCCAATTTCAGCAAAAACTGGCAGGCCCTCAAGCCTCTCTCCAGTGTTAGGTGAATATGAACCAAGAGAAAACGCTTAGACACAGGAGCAAGTTTGAGCTTTCCTAATTCAGAAGTGTTATCCCAAGGCTTCAGATATAAACAAAAGTCAGAGTTTCCTTTGGCAAGCCCAATATGGGTTTTCTGTGATAATTTTTCCTCTTGGTCTACTTAAGGAGCTGAAGAACCAAGGAGGTTTTGTCGTGTTAGAGATTGGCTTTGCAAGAAGGGAGCGTGTATTCCTCCCTTAGAACGAGAGCCACAGCTTCAGCAAGGTTTCACGAGCATTCCTACACCCAGTCCCTCTTTCAGGATTGGCACATGAATTCACACCTACAATGCAGTACGATTCTGCATTTCCAGGGTCATGACCTCCAGGGTCCCGTGTCTGCAATGCTTCACAGGGTGATACCACAGCAGAACCAGACCCAGTGTTCCGTAGTACTGGGACAGGCTTCCGACTACAGCGTGAGAATGGTTAAAAAGCAAACTTATTGGAGAGCACCCGCTTCTGCAAAGTGGCATGCACTCTCCAGTTAATCTTGCCGTCTCTCTTGAACACATGTTCAGAGCTCTGATTTCCAGCTAAACGAAGGTAGAAGCAAGCCCATCTCCTCTCTGGCACAAAACGTTGCTCTGCCACCTTTCAGTTGCCTGCTAAAAGCAGCCCGACCCCCAAGCCAAGAACAACTGTCACCCTCAGTTCTCCCATGTATTGCTCAAAGGGACTAAGCGATGGGACACTTGACAGAAAGATCACCTGAAAGATGCACCAGACTGGCATTACAATAAAAATAGGGGCTCGAGAAAAATTACTCTGTTCTTCAGCAATGCTTTCCAGAATGTGTGGAATTGCAGAGCTGCAGTGAATGGAACAGCCCAGCTTGCTTGCAGCAGGGAAGAGCACACTCCAAGGAATATGATTCCCTTTCTGGCTCAGCAGGAGAAGCAGCCAAGCCAGCAGCGGACCACAGCAGCTGCCTGTACCGCACCTCACGCGAACCACAGCCACCCAGGTGTGTCTGCCGCGGAAGCTCTGTCGCTGCTTCACGCAGGAGCTGTTAGCCGGCAGTCACCGCTCTGGGCATCGCGCTGCCCGTCTGCCGTCCTGGCTGGGGCCCCTGAGCCCCCCGCAGGCGCACGCCGAGCCTTTTCATCAGCTAAGCACCAGATGCTTCAGGCACAACCACGGGGCATCGTTGGCAGAGGGGAAGGGAGCACCTGCAAGTGAAATGTGTCCTCCTACAAGCGCACTTCAGATACACAGGGGTGAGCCAACCCTACAGCTCCCTGCCACCGAGACACAGGCCTTCAGTCCCTCCGTTCCCAAACCCCAATTGCGAGAAAGGGGAAAAAGTGACAAGTCTCCTGCTGGGTTCACCAACGGAAATGGTTCACGGAAGAATCCACCGCCAGCACAGCCCTGGAATAAAGTACACAGCCAGGAGAAAGGCAGGAAGTCTTTGCTGTTAGAGGCAGCAAGCCATTGGTCAGGTCAGCTCCATACAGCACAGAAGCCTAACTACTTTGTGTAAGGCTTCCCATAAAATGTGTGTTCCACTAAAGAAAATCTAGCTACAGCTTTGTCTACACTGAAGTCAGAATGTCTTTATTAGCACAGCAGGAGTCCTACACCTACCGTAAGGTGCATCCCCAAACACGACCTGCCCTTTTTCTGGCACTAAAGGCAAATAAAGACCGACATGGAGATGCCTCATCCTGTGACCGTTACCAAAGACGGCATCTTGAGGGCTGAAACTACGAGCTGCATGAAGAACACCACAGCTGCATGAATGTGATCGAAGACACAACTGCGTACACCGAATGCTTATCGTACCTTCGCTGGCTGCTGGGTTAGGTGGATGGTGCAGTGTGATAACGATGAAGCCATGGATGCAGGAGACAAGCCCACGCTCAGTTAGACAATACAGTTACGCACTGTGGATTAAAGGCATGCAGAGGCAGAGAGCGCAGCACAGGTCTGGCAATTCATGATGGAAAGTCAACTTGACTTGTAAGGCTGGCTCCAGAAGGCTGCAAACTATTTTTTTTTTTGAGCCTCATCACCCAGAGAAAGAGCAACAGACCAACCTCTGATCAGGTAAGAAACACCAGGCCAATCTACATCCAGTGGGGAAACGAGATCTGTGTTTGAGTAGTACAAAACCACTTTAGGGGTTTAGATTATTGTAGCTGGAGGGGGAAGGGGGTTACCTTAATGCAAAAAAAATCCTCAGAAAAGTCAGACACGCAGTTCATTAAGTAGATGGCAATGTAAAATATCAGCAAGTTCAGGAGCTCCTCTCACCTCCTCTTAAAAGCATGGTCTTACTGAGGAATAATTGTGTAAGAAAGCACATGCCCCAAACCTCCCCTCTTTCTGATTTGGCTACCCTACTTCTTTGAAAGGGATTTCACTGTTTATCAACCTGCCTATCATCAACTTTGGTTCGTTCTTAAGCACATACACAGCTTCTGTCTACTGTAGGCATCAGGCTGCACAGAGGTAACTGCTGGCACTGTGGTAATGGTCACAGCCTTACAGATTCACCATCGTGCCAAGAGCTACTCTAGGTCTCTCTGCTGTGCTTTGGACAGAAAGAACGTGTCTTCATAAATGGATCTGTCGTGGTGAGTAACAAGGATCGAGACAGTAAATGTCAGCAATAAAATATCACAATACATTATAGCCTCATTATGAGCTTAGCATAAACAGCTGGAGACCGTGCATACCTACACACGAACAGCCTGCACGGATCATATCCGGTAGCACGCACTGGCTGAAATCTAAGGACAGAGACATGTTTTCTCCAGGCATAAGGAATGCAATGGCTATGCTGACCATAATTCCAGTACTAGTTTCCCTACTTGTTATCTCCTTCCTGAAATAGGAAGTTTGCTAATCTGCTCTGAAACCAGAAACTTGTTTCTTCTGGAAAGAAACACCACCAGGAACCAAAAGAACCCGTGTTGGAACATCCTACCTTTACCTGGCAAACTGTGAAAAGCTGAAGTAACAGGAAGACCCTCTCTAGAACCTGTAGGTATATCCAGTTCTACAAGTGCTTTCTCCTGGACATGATGCTCCTTGCACGAGAAACATTGCCACAACTGACATTCGAATGCGTTTCCAACACCTCACACAGTACAGTTAAGAAAGGGCATGGAGTGAAAATACTGCGTTTGAACGAGGAATAGAGGTTAATTATTTGAGGCAGATGGTACCACCCTCCCAGGTTTATCCACACCACAGGTTTGCAGTAAGATATTGTTTGCTGAGGAAAAATAAAATACCTACTGGCCACCTTTGTGGTTCTGCAGTGCAGCACTGGAGCTTACGTCAGCCTGCTGCTCCTCACCCAAATCTCAGGTGGGGAAAGGGGCTTCTCAGAGTCAGGACTTTCACATGCTGCATAGGCTGGCATAGCAAAGCTAGTGCCCTTACCTGGAACTCTAGCAGGAAAAGAGTCTGGAGACCCTGCTCCAGTTCCTCCTTCCTCATCATCCTCCTCAAACTCCAAGTGTTCCTCTTCTCCAGGCGCCAAAATCTTCCTGTGAAACATGAGACAGAAGGAAACTAAAGATCACTGATCATCTGGCTTTCAACTCACACAGAGCAGGAGCAAGGTGCTTTAATGTTATTTCATGCTTCTCATTAATTACTACCTGTACCTATAGGTTGACAGAGATGGCAGGAGCTCAGCCCCATAGAAAACCGGGAGTCTAAATCCAAGAGACAATACTGGCAATTTCAGAGAAATGCAGGGATGTACCAAGTCCTCAGTTTACAAAACCCAAGGCCTTGATTTTTAGTGGTACCTAGACAAACAGAATTCAAAAGTTCTTTCATGAACCAGTTTACCCAGAGCAATACAGCAATGCGGTGGCTCTATGTGCTGGTTTTAGGCAGGACAGGGTTGGTTTTCTTCCCAGTGGCTGGTATGAGGCTGTGTTTTTGGATTTGCCCTGAAAACAGTACTGATAACGTGCCTGTTAGTTGGTGCTGGGGAGTGCTTGTACCAATTTAAGGTCTTTTCCAGCTTCTGATACTGCACCGGTATTCCCAACTTTCTCACTACAAGCAGTGGAGGGGGGGAGGGGACACACACACAGAGTTCAGACAGCTGACCCAAACTGACCGA